GGACGTGGGGTGGGAAGGGGCTGCACCGGGTGCCACGGCTGCTGCTGCCCCACTGGGGACCTGGCTGGGGGAACAGTGGGGTCACAAACAGCCCCATCCCATGGAACACGGGTGGATTTTTGTGCCCAAATGGGAGATTTTGCAAATTCTGAAGAATGGCTGGAGAGCAGGGGCAGTGGGGGGGTCCAGGATGGTGGGGAAGACCGGAACGGGGAGGAAGACAGGGATGGTGGAGATGGCAGGTGCAGCGAGGCCACCAAACTCCATGAGGCTCCCAGGTGTGATTCTCACACACTCCCTGGGATGCTCCAGCAGTCACCAGCCCCTTGCCCGGTACCTGGAGGGATGTGTGCCCAGAGGGAGAACCCAGCATCTCATGCACCTGAGGGACCTCCTTGCTGGACCTCCGGCAGCTCCAGCTGGGACTGGCTGAGACTCGTGGCTCTTGTGACAGCGATGAGCTCGGTGGAACAGTTCCCAGCCCACCTGCACTGGATTCAGCCACCCACTCCCAGCCTCGCCGGCCTGGCCGCGGGCAGCCCGGGGCAGGACTGGCCCTCAGGCCTCTCCTGCTCCTCCGCCCGGGAGGTGCCGCCGGGGCCAGCGCTGCCGGGCCATTTTGCAAGGGTTCAGCTAGCTTAGTCCTCGGGGACAGGCGACTCAGGCAGATTAGACCTCTCTAAAATAGGCAGGTATTAGTGATCTCAGCAGCCCCCAGCCTTCCGGCACGGAGGCTTTTAAGCCAGCGCTGCTGCCCAGCCCCGGGAGCCGGGAGCGGGTCCCTGGAGGGGCAAGAGGCAGCAGGACATCCCAGCCAGAGGGTCTCCTCGCTGCCTGTGCTGCCGAGGGGTGCTCGAGAGGGGGTGAAATGCTGCCCCAACCCCCACGGGTGCTGCCCCCAAGGGATGCCCAGGGGGTTGACACAGGGTCCTGCTGGCTCCTGTGTGTCCCCGGGGGCTGCTGCGGGTGGGGAGGGTGGATCTGGTGTCCCAGCACCGTGGCTGGTTGGTGCCTCGAGGGCACACGGGGTAGCCCTGCTGCATCGGGGCCACTGTGTCCTCCCCCTCTGCCCTGGACAGGGTGCATGCAGATGAGGGGTACAGCTGGAAGACGAGACTGGTGCTGGCAAATGCCATGTTTATTGAGCCAAATGATGCGAGAGGCCCTGGGACTGGTGCCTGGGGATGATGGAGCAACAGGGACCACCACCCGTCGCCCCATTTGGGGGTGCACACCAGGGGTACCACAAGCAGGGGCTTGGCCAGCACAACTGGGGGGGGATCCAGGTGTCCTGCATCCCCCCACCCACCCAGCACACCCCAGAAAACAACAGGGAATGTGTTTTTTTTTGGGGGGGGGGGAAACCCATCCCCAGGCATTGGTAACAACCACATCCTGTGGCTCCGGGGGCGGAG